GATCCCCTGCAGGTCGGGCCCCGCCGCCGCCTCCTGCCTGCCTGTCAGACCAGCCGGGCGTGCCTGCTTGCTGCGAGCCAGATCCAGCACGCCCCTCCATCGTTGCCCCCTGCCGTCGTCGTCGTCGTCCTTGTCGTCCTCGTCGCCGTACCCTATTGCTCGACATGCAATATCCCTCGAGACCATCGCCGCCAACTTGGAGCATAAGCAAGCAGGACAGGCAGGGCGGTGGATGGACGCGGACCAGGCGCCGCAGCAAGCCGAGCTGGGTCAAAGGCCACAGGGCACAAAGGCAGGCACGGGAAATGCGCCGGGCGGTGCGGAATAGGCCGAGGCTCGACCGGTGCGGCCATTTCGGCGGCATCGTCTCGCCTCGCCTCGCTTCGCATCGTTCGTTCCTCGTCCCACCTGCCTGTGCCAACCACGCGAGCCAATCAGCAAACGTAGCTAGGGCGAGCATTGGCGTCGTCGACCGACTCGGGCGGAAGAAGCGGGGACAAGGTCAGGCCTGCCAGGCCGAGACCAGGGCGGGCAGCAAGTCGAGCCAGCCAGGGTCTGGCCCTTGCCCCCCCGGGCCCCGGCCACGGCGGCCGCACCCACCGCTCAAACGCCGAGTCGGCTTTGCACCCTCGTCCCGCACCACCGAGTCGACTCGCCTGGCCTCTCCGGAGCGGTGGCCGACCCGTCCCGTCCGTCCTTCCACCTGGCAGGGCTTGCCTGGCCTGGCCTGGCCTCCTTCGCTGGCGCTCCACACGTCCACGCGATCAGGGTCCGTCTGTCCGTCGGTCGTGGTTCCAGCCCGCCTGCCCGCCTGCCCACTATGGCCCTCGCCACGACCACCGCCACAGAGCTCGTACTCGACAACGGCGAGCTCACATGACCCCGTCTTCGTCTCAGCTGGCACCGGCCTGTATCTGCCCCTCCGCGCATGGCCACGCGGCTTCGATGGCGGCCAACAGATAGAGATCTCCGCACATGGCTGGCCAGCCAGACTGGTCTGCCAGCCGATCCGCTCCCGCCTGAGCGAGCGAGCTACGTAGGTCGAGATAGATGATCTCGCTTCAGACGATATCGGTTGGACGGCAGGCACGAGGACCTCGCAGCCCAGAGGCGAGCGGCCACCCTACCGTAGGCAAGGGAACCCCCCAGCCGAGTCCACGAGGGAGGACGGGGTGTGATGATCTGGTCTGGCCAGCCCGCCGGACACGCTTGGGGAGGCGGACCGACCAGCAGGGCAGCGCTCCGTGGTTTTCGAGATTGCTTCATACGACCACCACGTCCTCTAGTCACCTGCTCCTGCCAACGCCGCCGCCGCCGCCACCACGTCCAACCGGCCCGCCGTCGCTCCTCGTTCCCGTCCGATCCCCCGTCTCTCCCTAGAGCTTGGCCTTGGTCTGCGCCTCGGCCTCCTTTTTGGCCTTGAGCCTCCTCTTGGCCATGATGGCCCGTCCCGTGTTGCTCGCGTTCGTCTCGCGCCCAATCTGGGCCGTGATCCATTCGCCAATCTCGGCGAGCCGCTCGAGGTCGGCGCCGGTGCGGTAGCCCTCCTTTTCCAGCGCAAACACGACGCTCTCGGTGTCAATGTTGCCCGTCGCCCCGGGCGAGTAGGGGCAGCCGCCGAGGCCACCGACGGACGAGTCGACGGTCCTCACGCCCAGCCCGACGAGGTGGAGCACGTTGGCGAGGCCCGTCGAAAACGTGTCGTGGCAGTGGGCCGCAAACACGTCGGCGCCCCTGCCGCTCTTGCGCATCGAGGCCTCGAGGACCGCCTCCATCTTGGTGGGCGTCCCGACGCCAATGGTGTCGCCCAGCGACACCTCGTAGCAGCCCATGTCGAGCAGCGCCTTGCTGACCTCTCCGACCTTTTCCGGGTCGATGTCGCCCTCGTAGGGGCAGCCCGCCACCGTCGACACGTAGCCGCGCACCTTGAGCCCGGACTGGAGCGCGCGCGACGTCACCTGCGACAGGCGGTCGAGCGACTCTTTGATGGTGCAGTTGGTGTTGGCCTTGCAGAACGACTGGCTCGCCGCGGTAAAGATGGCGATCTCGTCGGTGGGCGCGGCCTGGCCCTGCGGCACCGAGCGCAGCAGCTCCTGGAGCGAGTCGAGCCCCTTGGCGTTGGGCACGAGGACCGGGTAGCTCATCGCAGAGGCCGAGGACGAGGATGAGGGCGGCAGGGGGAGCGAGCGGAGCAGCGAGGGGGTATCGCCCATCTGGGGCACCCATTTGGGACTGACAAAGGCGCCGGCCTCAATGACGCGCAAGCCCGTCTGTCCGAGGCGCCGTATGAGCTCGAGCTTGATCTCGGTGGGCACCACCTGCTTCTCGTTCTGCAACCCATCGCGGGGCGAGACCTCGACGATCTTGACGAAGCGGTCCGACGAGGCGCTGCCAGCGGTGCTGGCTGCCGTTGCGAGTTGGCGGCGGGCGGTGTGCGGGAGCGCCACCGCCGAGCCCGAGAGGCGCGAGAGCGAAGAGGTTATCGGACGTCTCGACAGCATGGCAGCGCGGGCGACGGCGTGTTTAGAGGAGGACGAGGAGGGCGAGAGCGAGGTGGAGCGATGGTGAGAGGGAGGATGAGGTGGCAGCAGCGCCTGGCTCCTTTTCCCCGCATTTCTGGGATGCCTTTTGGGCCGTGTCCGCTTCCCCTCGCTTTCTGCCCGCTCGACGGTCGGCTTTACCGGGCCGCCTGTGCCCGGCGAGCCGGACAAGGGGCGGCTCAGTTGGCAGCATCTCGAACGAGCCAGGTAGCTTCTGGATGACGGCAGGCCATCCCCACAACCTCAACTTGTGAATCGGGGGATCAGCCGATATGCTTCACTGCTCGATCTGCTACGCTCCCGCCGTGTCCCCTACGGCCATGGTTGGCTTGGCCCAGAAGAATCCTTGTCGAGGCTGAGCTATGGTGCAAGCCTCTAATGGTCGCCCGGACACCTCACCAAAGTCATGCACCAGCCTACAAAAGCGATGCCAGTCTCAGAGTCTGAGCAGGCTGTCTGCTGTCGCTTTTCGGATGGCAGGCCGATGGCCAGGTCGGTTCGGGCCGATGGTGCGGCGTCGATCCGATGCCAAGAGGTGCGGAGCGGGCACGCGGCCCGCGGTCTTTGCCGCAAAAGGCGCGTGGAGACAAACAAAAGACAGGCCAGGCAGGCAGGCAGGGCCGCTTGCTTCTTAGCCAACCACGGCTGCCACCTTTCATCCTCTGGACCGCCGCAACGACCAACCTCCAGCCGCCGGTACCCTTTCCCCCCTCTATCCTATTCTGACCATCAACGGCTATCGGCGGACACCCTCGCAAAAACGTCAGAACCCGCTCACAGCTCTCGGTCACTGCTCGCTGCCAGACTTGACCTCCCGAAACACCACCGACACCACCGGAGCAAAAACAGGGCCCCCGCCGGCAACGCGGCGCAGCCACCGCCAGCATGCCCGCCAACGTCGTCAAGGTCGACCTCTCGCAGACTTCCAAGTCGCTCGCCGTCACCGGCGGCTTCATCGTCATCTACGGCCTGATCAGCTACGTGCTCAAGGAGCGCCTCTACCTCTCCGAGCCCCTCCTCGCCGTCACCCTCGGCATCCTCGTCGGCCCCTATGTCCTCAACTGGGTCGACCCGCTCTCGTGGGGCACCGAGGAAAACACAAACGAGCTCACCTACCAGTTCACCCGCATCATCATCGGCATCCAGGTCCTCTTTTGCGGCATCTCGCTGCCCAAGGCCTACCTCTGGAAGGAGAAGCTCAGCCTGTTTGTCCTCCTCTTTGCCGTCATGACTACCGCCTGGCTCGTCACCGCACTCCTCGTCTGGGGCCTCATCCCGGACCTCACCTTCCTCGAGAGCCTGTGCATCGCCAGCTCCCTCGCACCCACCGACCCCGTCCTGGCCAACTCGATCACCAACGGCCGCTTTGCCGAAAAGTACGTCCCCACCAACGTGCGCAACATCCTCGTCGCAGAGAGCGGCGCAAACGACGGCCTCGGCTTCCCCTTTCTCTACCTCGCCATCTACCTCCTCGCCCGCAACGGCGAGGACGCCAACACCTCGGTCGCCACCGAGGTCGGACGCTGGGTGTACGCCGTCGTCATCTACCAGATCCTCCTCTCGATCTGCTTTGGCGCCCTGCTCGGCTACGTCGCCCGCAAGACGCTGCGCTGGGCCGAGGCCCGCTCCTACATCGACAAGGCCAACTTTTTCGCCTACGGCCTCGGCCTCGCCTTCTTCACCCTCGGCACCACGGGCTTGTTTGGCTCCGACGACATCCTCGCCTGCTTCATCGCCGGCAACAGCTTCACCTGGGACGACTGGTTCCGCCTCCGCACCGAGGACAACGACTTCCAGGAGATCATCGACTCGGTGCTCAACCTCGCCGTCTTCCTCTACGTCGGCGCCATCATCCCGTGGGCCGACTTTAGCGACGCCGCCCTCGGCCTCACCGGCTGGAGGATGGTCGTCCTCGGCCTCACCATCCTCATCCTCCGCCGCCCGCCCGGCGTGATTGCGACGACCAAGCTCATCCCCGCGCTCCGCGACTACAAGGAGTCGGCCTTTGCCGGCTTCTTTGGTCCCATTGGCATCAGTGAGGCCTTTCTTGCGAGCCGGGGCTGCCTGGATAATGTGACGGGAGCAAGGATGCTGACCACGCCTGCATTGGACCTACCGCGCCTCCCCTTCCTCCCTACTCTCTGTGTGCGAACCTACTTCGACAGGTGCCATCTTCTACATTCAGGTGGCGCTGCGAGAGCTGCCCGATGACGGCACGCGCGACCGGCTGCGGCGGCTGTACACGCCCGTCGTCTTCTTCTGCGTATTTAGCAGCGTGCTCGTGCACGGCGTCACGATCCCCGTCTCGAAGCTGGGGCCGGGCGTCATGAAGCGCACGGCGACGCTGACGCAGACCAAGACGATCACGTTCAGCAGCAAGCCGGGCAGCCGCACGACGACCATCGCCCCGGGCGAGCGCGAGCCCAACCGGCCCGGCAGCGCGTCGGCCGAGGAGGTCCAAGCACGGGCGGAGACGGAGAAGGAGCTCTGGAATCCCTTCTATGCGCTGTGGGACGGTGTCAAACACGTCGGCCTGTTCTGGAGACGGGACAGCTTCTGGCGCAAGGACCCGCCTGTCGACACGACGACGACGACGACGACGACAAAGGCAAAGGAGCGGGAAGAGCAAGGCGGCGGCAGCGGCGATGGGGCCGGGCAGGGCGAGGGTTCGAGCGACGCGTCTGCACCGCCGTCGGACGGCGAAGGCGGTGCGAGCTCTTCTTCTTCCAACGGTGGCGATGCGGCTGCCCGTCGTCGAACAGAAGCTGACGACGGAAAGCATAAGCACCTACCCCCACCCTCTCTCGAGCTGCCCACCACCAACGCCCCATCCACCTCTTCCGTCCCCGCTCCCGTCGTCGGCACGAGCTCACCCACAGCGCCGGCAGCGACAGCAGCAGCGGCAGCGGCACCAGCAGCGCCACCGCCGGCGCGCGTCAAGACGTCGCAGCACATCGGCAGCGGTCTGCTGCGAGCCCTCAGTCGCGAGCTGGCAGAAGAGAGGGCCGAAGCGTCCACCGAGGCCGAGAACGGGTACGAGAGGAGCCAGATCAAGGAGCGGAAGCGGATCGAAGTGCTCCGTGCCCTCAATGCGCAGCGGCTGGCGGAGAGAAAGGGGTAGCCCCCGTGGTCGGAACGCGTCTCTCTGGGATCTCGGGATGGAATCGATACCCATGCCGTCGTGGAGATGGGGTCTGACGAGGGGACGAACGAGCGCGTCGGACCTCTTCGTGTTGCCGTGAGCCGAGGATGGATGGTCGTGAGCGGCCCACCTGGACCAGACGATCCGCGAGGCCTTCTCTGGCGAGATCAGCCTAGGGGTGCAACGACGCCGCCGCGCGAAGCCACCACCGACGGGAGCCTGTCGGAGCGCCTTGGACCTCGAGGGGGGACGAGAGCCGTTGAGCAAAGGAGGTTGGTCTCGAGCCCCCGCCTCCTTCCGATGACGAGAAGCACGCTTGCTTGATGGTGGCCGGGCCCGGAAAGGGGGGGCGGCGCCATGGTGGAAACTACGGGCGGCGGTGAGCGTGGCCTGGCCGGCAAGCTGAGAGGAGCGGGTGGCAGCGTCGGCGGGCGGCTTTGGGGAGCGGGCGGATGTCTCCGTTTCCGCGCATGCCGACCGGCCTGGCCTGGCCCTGGCCAATCGAAGCCCACCCTAGCCTATTCGAGGGCCGTGTCTTTGAAATCTTAATAATGCCAGAAGCCAAAGGGGCTGCGCGAGGCCTGGGTTGAATTCGGAGGAAAAAGGCCCAAAGGCCCGACGAGACGCGCGGTTGTAATGGCGGCCTGCCTCGAGCCTCAAACTGGCTGGGCCCCGATGACTACAAACTTTTCTCCACTTTGCTCCGGGCCAAGCCGCCCGCCCGCCTGCCCGCAACCCTCTTGGCCTGGCGTGGCCTGGCTGGCGCTTGGCTTTGCCCGCGGGTTTTTTCGATCTTTGGCTGGGCGGCCCATCGACTTGGCGGGTGGAGCGAGGCGGGCGAGGGCGGCGGATCCCTCGGCGCTGCTGCCGCCGCTGCTGCCGCCGCCGCCGCCGTCGTCGCCGCCGTCTTTTCCCAGGGTGGCTCCCCCCCCTGGGCCGGGTCGACCAACACTGCCCGCGCCAGCTCATCGTCACCACCTTCCTCCTCCTCCTCCTCCCCCCTCCACCAACCCCCTCACTCCAACGCCACCCGAATCGACTCGTCCCGGTCGGCTGCCCCCTCCTTCCCCTCCCTCTGCGCGCTACGACTGCTCCGACCGCACCGCTCGAACCCGCTTTGCTGCGTGCGGACTCGGACACCAACGACCACTGCACCGCTTCAACTCCACTTTCGTTCCCCCCGACCACCAGCCGGTCTTTGAGGAGCGAGGCTGGAACAGCCCCTTCACCGCCGCCACCTAGTCCCTGTGTAAGTTGTCCGCGCTGGTCCTGCTCGCCGACGCTGGCTTGTTCTGATTTCCCCTTCGCTGACGTCGTCGTATCGCCACCATCGCCGCTCATCCTCTCTTACCCGCCACCCTCCGCCGCGCCGTGTCACTGCCCCTTCTTGCACTGTCGCCAGCTAGCGTAGCTGCCCGGCATGCTGCGAAACCTCAGCTCGCGCGCCCTGCCGAGGGCCGGCCTCCGCGCCGCCTCGTCGCCCGCCCTTGCCCGCGTCGCCGTCGCGCCCTCGCCCATCCTGGCCCGCGGCTACAAATCGACCTCGAATCGCTCCCAGGCGAGCCCCGCGCCCGCAAAGCCAAACGCGCCCTCGGGCAGCGACACCTTTATCAACACCACCAACAGCTACTACGCAGAGGAGATGCACAAGCGCTGGAAGCAGGACCCGTCGTCGGTCCACGCCAGCTGGGACGTCTACTTTAGCGGCCTCGCAAAGGGCCTCCCCAGCGAGCAGGCCTTCCGCGCGCCGCCCACCCTCATGCCCCTGCCCATGGAGGCGCCCCCCGTCGACGTCTCGGGCATCGGCTCCGCAGAGTCGGTTGACGACCACCTCAAGCTCCAGCTCCTCGTCCGCGCCTACCAGGTCCGCGGCCACCGCATCGCCCGCCTCGACCCGCTCGGCATCCTCGATCCGGACCTCGACCCGAAGATCCCCGAGGAGCTCAAGATCGAGCACTACGGCTGGTCCGAGTCGGACCTCGACCGCGAGATGCGCCTCGGCCCGGGCCTCCTGCCCAACTTTGTCAAGGCCGGCGTCCAGACGCTCACCATCCGCGAGATCATCGACGCCTGCAAGCGCATGTACTGCGGCTCGATCGGCATCCAGTACGTCCACATCCCCGACCGCGAAAAGTGCGACTGGCTCCGCGAGCGCATCGAGACGCCGGAGCCGTTCAAGTATACGGTCGAGGAGAAGCGCACCATCCTCGACCGCCTGATCTGGTCCGACTCGTTTGAGCGCTTCATCGCGTCCAAGTACCCCAACGAGAAGCGCTTCGGCCTCGAGGGAGGCGAGTCGCTCATCCCGGGCGTCAAGACGCTCATCGACCGCTCCGTCGAGCACGGCGTCGGCTCCATCACCATCGGCATGCCCCACCGCGGCCGCCTCAACGTGCTGGCCAACGTCATCCGCAGGCCCATCGAGGGCATCCTGCACCAGTTTGCCGGCAAGGAGGACGACGGCGAGGGCGGCGGCGACGTCAAGTACCACCTCGGCGCCAACTACGTCCGCCCCACGCCGTCGGGCAAGAAGGTGGCCCTGTCGCTCGTGGCCAACCCGTCGCACCTCGAGGCCGAGGACCCCGTCGTGCTCGGCAAGACGCGCGCCCTGCAGGACTTCGCCGGCGACAAGGAGCACCGCACGTCGATGGCGCTGCTGATGCACGGCGACGCCGCCTTTGCCGGCCAGGGCGTCGTGTACGAGACCATGGGCATGTACAACCTGCCCAACTACGCCACCGGCGGCACCATCCACATTGTCGTCAACAACCAGATTGGCTTCACCACCGACCCGCGCTTCTCGCGCTCGACGCCCTACCCGTCCGACATTGCCAAGTCGATTGACGCGCCCATCTTCCACGTCAACGGCGACGACGTCGAGGCGGTGGCCTTCGTCTCGCAGCTGGCCGCCGACTGGCGCGCCAAGTTCCAGAAGGACGTCGTCATCGACCTCGTCTGCTACCGCAGGCACGGCCACAACGAGACCGACCAGCCCTCGTTCACCCAGCCGCGCATGTACGAGGCCATCGGCAAGCAGGACCCCACCCTCAAAAAGTACACAAAGAAGCTCGTCGACGAGGGCAGCTTCTCGCAGTCGGACATTGACGAGCACCAGAAGTGGGTGTGGGGCATGCTCGAGGAGGCGGCCGAAAAGAGCAAGAATTACGAGCCCGAGGAGCGCGAGTGGCTGTCGAGCGCGTGGGAAGGGTTCCCGTCGCCCAAGGAGCTGGCCGAGAAGATCCTCGACCACAAGGACACGGGCGTCGAGCTCGAGACGCTGCGCCACATTGGCAAGACGGTGTCGTCGTACCCGGACGACTTCAACGTGCACAAGAACCTGGGCCGCATCCTCAAGACGCGCGGCAAGACGGTCGAGGAGGGCAAGAACATCGACATGAGCACCGCCGAGGCGCTGGCGTTTGGCTCGCTCGTCAAGGAGGGCTACTACGTGCGCCTCTCCGGCCAGGACGTCGAGCGCGGCACCTTTTCGCAGCGCCACTCGGTCCTCCACGACCAGGCCGACGAGCGCACCTACACGCCGCTCCAGCACATTGACCCCAAGCAGGCGCCGTTTGTGGCGTGCAACAGCTCGCTCTCCGAGTTTGGCTGCATGGGCTTCGAGCTCGGCTTCTCGCTCGTCGACCCCAAGAACCTGACGATCTGGGAGGCCCAGTTTGGCGACTTTGCCAACAACGCGCAGTGCATCATTGACCAGTTTGTCGCGTCGGGCGAGCGCAAGTGGCTGCAGCGCACCGGCCTCGTCATCAACCTGCCCCACGGCTACGACGGCCAGGGCCCCGAGCACTCGAGCGCGCGCATCGAGCGCTTCCTGCAGCTGTGCGACGACCACCCGTTCCGCTTCCCGACGCCCGAGAAGAACAACCGCCAGCACCAGGACTCGAACATGGCCGTCGTCTACCCGACGACGCCCGCCAACTACTTCCACGTGCTGCGTCGCCAGGTTCACCGCGACTTCCGCAAGCCGCTGGTGCACTTCTTTAGCAAGTCGCTGCTCCGACACCCCGAGGCGCGGTCCAAGATCGAAGACTTCCTGCCCGGTTCGGGCTTCCAGCGCTTCATCCCGGAGCCCCACGCCCAGGAGGGCAAGGATGCGCTGGTGGCCAACGACGAGATCAAGCGCCACATCCTGACGGTGGGCCAGACGTACTTTGCGCTGCTCAACTGGAGGCGCGACAACGGCATCAAGGACGTTGCCATTTCGAGGATCGAGCAGATTTCGCCGCTCGACTACGAGGCCATTGTGCCGGCGCTGGACAAGTACCCCAACGCCGACCTGGTCTTCTGCCAGGAGGAGCCGCTCAACAACGGCGCGTGGTCGTACCTGCAGCCGCGGCTGCGGACGGCGTGCCGCCACACGCAGCACCACAAGGACGACATTGTGATGCTGGCTTCGCGGCCACCGTCGTCGTCGGTCGCCACGGGCTCCAAGGTGGCGCACAAGGCCGAGGTTGAGGCGTACCTGCGCGACGCGTTTGACCTCAGCCGCAAGGCGAGCGACGAGCTCTGAGCGGGGTCGGTAAGCGGCGTTTGGGTGTCATTGTAGACCCTACCCTCTTGTGCCGTTGCCCGTCCCTCCCTCTCCTCCTCCCCCCCCCCCCCCCCCTCCTCTCCCTCTCCGTCTCTCTGCATATCTGCCCTCTTCTCCACCCTCATGGCTGCCTGACCGCTCGTGCTGTCTGACGTGCCTGCAGTCGGCGCTCAAGAGGTAAGAGACGTCCCCAGCCTTACTTGTGTATAAAATGAAGGTCGAAGAGAGAGCGCGAGGAGAGAGAAATACACTTTTGCTAGTTTGGTCCCCTCTCTCATGGTGCCGCTGGTCAGACTGTGACCGTTGCCGACGCCGTTGCTGTTGCCGATGCCGATGCTGCAGCGCCTAGGCCCCGGCCAGAACGGGGGAGATCGAGACGCGGGGGTCGTGGACAGGTAGGTATCTGTTGGTAGGGTAGGCATCGCTCGGCCCGCTTCCCTTGGCGTCCTGTGCTGTCGTGGAATCACCAGCTAAGGGCACGGGAAGGGGGCGGGCGTGGGACGAGGCCGGTGGGTACGGCGGCGTTGGGCTCGGCCTTTGCGTCTCCTGCCAGGCCAGGGCTTCGGCCACGTGGGAAAGCGAGGCAGGATTGAGAAAATTTCCCAAGCGATGGAAGCCAAGCCGCCTAGCCCTAGCGTACCTGGCCCGGCCCGCCTGATGGGGCAGTCGGGAACCAAATGCGAATTTAATTTTTCAAAGACTACTGGTCCCGGTCGACAGCGGAGAGGAGCGGCCTTGCCTGGCCATGCGATGGGCCGGGGTCCCCTTTTGTCGATAGAGGGCCAGCTAGGGCAGCCGGGCGGATTCTACCTGTTGTCCAGATCGCGCAGCCCCCCCTTGCCTGGTCGGCTCTTTGTTCTTCGGGCATCCCCCCCTCCTCTCTCTCTCTTGGCCCGCTACTGTACAGGTCAACTGAGGCCAACTCGGGCGTGGGCTCATGCCCGGCCGCCGCCAAGTCAAGGACGCGGGACCCGCCTTATTGGCCTTTCTCCCTCCGCCAGACCAGGCCCCGACCGGCCTACACACGTACGTACTGTAGCTAAGCAAGTCAAGCAAACAAGCTCAAGCTGCGCGCGGGCTGCTGTCAGTTTCAGACCCCGCATAAACACCGCCGCGACGAGTAGATGGCGATGGAGCAAGCCAAGCCAGGCCAAGCCAAGCCAGGCTAGGCCGAGCGAGGCTGGGCAGGGCAGGCACAGCTTGATGGCAAGGCCACGAGGCCCGGCGTGGTCCTGAACCCTACAGGAGCTGCCCGCCTCTGGCCGGCCTGCGCTGCGGGTTGTCATTCGATCGCCGAACGTCGCCTCTTCGCCGTCGTCGGCGACGGGATCAGATGGCACCGCTGTCTCGTACTCCGATGAGGGTCAGGTACGGTCGCGGGCCCCGTCCTCGCCCTTCTTCGGTCATCCACCCATCTGTCCGCCCCCCATCTTGCCGTCCCTCGTTCTTGCCCGACCCATCTTGAGCTTTCATCCGCACCGCACAGCACCGCATCGCCACGTCGAGCTCAGCCGTCGTCGGCCTCATCGCGCTTTGCGCCTCGTGTTGCACTCGCACATTGCCGTCATCTCGATCTCCTCTCGTCTCCTTTCCTCCTCACCATCATCGCTAGCTCTACCAACCTCTCACTCGCTACCCCTTCCACCTGCTCCTCTTACGACGCCCTCGACCATGACGCTATAGCCCGCCCTTCCACTCGCCATCCCTAGCCGCCTAGCCGCGCCGCCGCCCGCTTAGCTGCTTGCTACAGCCTACCGCCAAGGCCAGCCAGTGGACCGCCTCCGATCTGCCCTGCCTTGAGCGCGCCGCGACAGCAGCGCCCGCGATCAACACACGACGCGGCACATCGCCGCCTCGCCCTGCATCGCATCCTTCACCCCTCCGACATGGCCGCCACCGCCATGCCCGTCTCGCCCGTCCACGACGTCTTTGCCGACAACCGCTCCGAAAACCTCTTTGGCTGGGTCCAGCCAGACGAGTGGGACACGGTCGCAGGGCCCAACACGGACCTCTTCCTGCGCGGACAGTGTGTTGACTGCCAAACACCGCCGCCACCACCGCCGGCGTCAGCACCTACCGCCGTACACGGTCCTCGCGCCGTGCCAGGCGCCACCGCCGCTCCTCTCGAGCACGACCACGACCTCGACCTCACACACGATGCACTCGGAGGCTGCGGCGCTCCGAGCTGCGGATACGGCGCGGCCTGCTGCGACTACAGTCGCGGTGCATCGCGGGCCGTCCCGCCGCACCGTCGAGCTGCGAGCGCGTCTGGCCCGACTACGGCCCCGCATCTCGGCGACGCCAGCGGCGTGGTCAAGGGCGCACAGCTCGGCGTCACGCTCATCGACATCATCCACGGCCGCAGCTGCAGGCCCATCTCGCTGCTCGACCTCCGCACCTTCCTCCTGCTGCAGCGACAGCCGCACCGGCGCGTGCCCGGCTACGCCCCCGCCTCGGACATGGCGCTGTCGACGCTGCCCGACCTCGACCTCGACCTCCTCAGCCCGCTCGAACCCACCCACGATGCCCCCGCAGAGGGTCTGCCAAACACCCACGTGCTGCCGTCCCAGCTCGTTCGAGACCGCACCGAGCCGCGACAGGCCTACGACGAGGTCGACGCCCTCGATTTCCTCGTCGCCTTTGAGCGGTACAAGAAGCGCTTCCGCGACCTGCCAAAGGCCGAGCGCATGCGCAGCCCCGACTCGCTCACCTGCCGCGCCGCCGTCGATGCCTATCATCGGCGGCGAATCGCTAGCATGGAGGGCGCGATGTCGTTCGGTGATGGCGTGGATGCTCCGCAGGCCTCCGAGCACGTCGATCTCGTCGACGAGGGGCAGAGCCTTGGGATCGCCGCGCTACGCGGCGTCCAGGTTCAGGACGTCGGCCTCGACCCAGCCTCGCAGCCCCTGCGCCGCGAGCTCGACCGCATCGTGTCACGGTACATTCGTGCCTCGAGCCGATCATCGCAGCAGACGCCCGCATCGATGCCGACGCGGATCCTGCTGACGCGGGCCCAGCGAAAGAGCCACAAGGGCAGCTCCGACTCGTTTGGCTCGACGGTCGTCGACGCCGGTGTCGACGAGAAGGGCAAATCCGCCGCAACGGGCAGCCCGTCGATCCCAGCAAGGCTGCAGTGGACCGTCGACGTCGGGCTGGTCTCGCAGGACCACATCGACATGGCCCTGGCAGAGGCGAGGCTGACGACGCATCCCGACACACTGGCGCCGCTGGCCGACGCCATCAGCGCCTACCTCTCGGCCCACGTCGTGCCCTATTTCTTCATCTCGGTCGCCAAGAACCTCAGCCGGCCCACGTCGAAGGGCCGCCTGGCCGTCGGGCTGGCGTGCACCGTCATCGCCACCGTCTTCACCGTGCTGCTGCTGCTCAAGCCCTCTCCCCTTTCCTCGAGCCCAGGAGGCGCCGTCGACCGCTGGTGGCGACTTTGCCTCACGCCGCTGTGGGCCGCGGCGCTGGGCTACGTCCTCGCCTACCGCACCGGCGTGTGCGTGTGGCTCACGCTGCGCGGCAACCGCGAGCCCGACGAGGACGAGGAGCGCGAGCGCGAAGAGATCCGCTCCCGCTTCAGCGACGACGCCGCCGGCTTCAGCTTTGCCGAGGTCGAGGCGGATGCCGAGCTCAGGGACGACGACGTCGAGCGCAAGACGAACCGGTGGATGGCGCCCGAGCTCGCCTCGCTGCTGCGGACCGGCAGGCTGCCGCGGCGCAGCGAGTCGGCCGGCGACGTCCGAGCTGTCCCGGCTGCCACAGCAGCTAGCATCGCAGTCGATGCTCCGCCAGCTGTCGTTGGAACGAGGATGTCGATCAGTGGCGAGGGCGAGACCAGGACGCCCCTTGCCGAGACGCCTGTGCCATTCAGCAGGAGCAAGTCTGTCGACTTTGGAGCCCACACTCGCAGCATCATCGACAGCCAGCCGTCCTCGCCGCGGCTCGAGCGCCAGCCACGCTCTATCCTCAACGGCCGGCTCGTTCAGCCGCGGGCGAGCGAAGACGGCCCCGCCACGCCGGCACTTATGCGCGGCCGCCGCGTGCCGCTGCTCCCGCTCACGCTCGGCGTGGTCAAGAGCCCGGCGAGGTCCGAGGTGGACCTGCACGCTCGCGCCATCGATTCGGCCGCGCACTCGCCCGTCCTCACGAGGGACGCGCTGCTCTTTGACCCGGCCCTGGCGCAGGCCGTCCAGGATGCCGCCGGCCGACGTCCCTCAATGGCCGTACACGGCGGCGGCGGCGGCGGCGGCGGCGGTGCCACGTATGAGGTCTCGCCGTTGGCACCCGCATTCATCCTGCGTCGGCCGAGCGCCGCGGTCGATGCGTTGCCCATCAGTGCCGGAAGCGCCCTCGACGGAGCCGCCATCCCGTAATAACTTCGTATAGCATACATTANACGAAGTTATACGAGAGCGCGAGGAGAGAGAAA